CTATTTTTATGTAAAGTATGTGAAATATTAATTCCTTATAAAAAAAATTAGAACACATAGCTGATGTGAAGAATCGACGTTCCGGAAAGTCTGCAGTCTGTGAACACGTACAGGATCGCCCCCGTCACTACATTAGATTTGATAGACCACAAATCCTCGCTAAAGAACACCGATTCCTCCCCAGGATGATTCGCGAGGCTATTGAAATTAAAAAACATCCTAATTTCAATAGAGAAGATGGCTGGGTGCTGCCATCTGCTTGGGATTCCATAATTAATAAAATTAAATCCCAACCCAAGCATACAACTGCAAGACTTCATGATACTGTAAGTTCATACTGCGTAGATCGGAACAAAAATTAATAATTTTTAATCTGAAGGTAGCCGTGGTTAACTATGACAGTGGGACGTCATACACCTCAGTCCCCCCCCCCCCCCGTGACCATGGGTGCTGAAAAGTACCCGAAACGTCGGGAATATAAAATAAGTTAATATACGCGATAAAATCCGTAAAATTAGTTTTATTTAAATGTGTAGTGTTCGCGTAAATATAAGAAATCATTAAGTAATTTAAAGTTGTAGAGTATAGGTAAGCCTCCTTGTGTGTAGTATAACAGTGTGTGTATGTGTGTAGGTTGAGTATAAGATTTAACGAGGTATGTTAAGTAATTGTTCGATTTCGTTGTAGTTCAGTTTTTTGAATATATTCAAATAGTTTCCTTTTGCACTCTCTAAAATTTAAGCTTCATATGTCAACAATTTTGCTGATTTTAGAATATACATACACATAGATATGGAAAAATATTTATGTGTAAATTGGTGTTTAAATGTTGGTCTATTGGGGAAAGTTATATCTCTGCGGTTCTTGGAAATGGAAATTGTATCAGTACTTGAGTATTGTTTCATAAAAGTGAGTAGGTTTCACAAGATTGATACATGAGGTATCATCAACTTAAAAACAACATAAAAGTACGTGTTTAGAAAACACGGGCCTCCCATGTTGTATGGAATATGGATTCGATTTAATTGCCACGCTTGGATGTCTTTGGTTTCAGACACTTAGAGTAGTTTGCTCTATGAGGAAACTGTGATGAAAGAATGTCGGCGAAATTAATTCAAATGTTTGATAAGTATCAGTTTTAAGATGTCTTTCCTCCAGAATAGCTGCTGAACCATTGTTTTATTTCCCTAATATTCCTAACGAGGTGTCAACATGTCTTTAACGATGAAAATGTTTGTTCACAAAATTTCTGTACACGGAGTATTGCTGCCGTCAATGGACTGGTGCTGCAAAAAATAAACAGGTGGTAAAAACACTATCATAGGACAAACTGATAGATCCTTTGACACCATAATAAGAGAACGTATTACAAGTCGGATGTCAAAGAAAAATGATTCGGCATTTACACATCACCGCAACACAAACCACCAGACTTTCGACCAACATTTATATTTTATAATTCTAGATACATGCAGTAAAGGACTAAAGTTGAATGCTTTATAAGCTCTTGAAATAAGTATATTAAAACATTTTAAGGAATATAATCCTTAATGACCAAAAGGATATCAGTTCATCCGCAATCTTGACATATTTTAGTCCTAGAGCAACACGGGCCACCAGCCGGCGGAATGGGAATAGTCATAGCGTTTTTCTCGATACAGAACTGTCTCTAATTTTTTGCGGGGGGAAATCTGCCCACACAAAAACAATATTTTATCATTACGAAGCTCATACAAACATAGAAGAACAAAAATACATATATTGTGTCAATATACTTGTCTCGCGTTTTCTAATTTAATTTTCAAATAAGGCAAAAAGAGAAACCTATTAAAAGATGTATTTTTATAGATTTATGCGCAAAGCTTTAATGATAAGTGATCATCTTTGGTATCACTCGTATTATTCTGATTTACTAGAATAATTACATCCCTGTTGTTCCCTGTTTTTTCACAAAACAAGATATCTTTAATCTATAGTAATATTATTTTCAATTTTTTAATATTTTTACGGGTGGCGGGACCACCAAGATGTCCGCAGATTTCAATTAACAAAATTAGTATTTTTAAAACGTCCTCCGGCCCCTGTATAACTTGACTATTCATTCGTTTTCGTTTATTTATTTATTTTATATTACTTTACTATAAATCTAAAAAACAAGACTAGACGTATTATTATTCAAGCAATCAAGTGGATTGTTTTCGAAATCAAATGATGATGATAATTATAGATTGCAAATATTCGTGTCGCAGACTTTAAAACTAATACGTTAGTGAGCTATGAGTACTAACTCTTGACAGTCACACGGTACATAAGCTAGTATGACCCCTTCTGTAATCCCAATTTTATATCCTGATTTACCATTTACTCAGCGGAAAATTAAAGCATCGTGAAATCTGCATCTGCTTGGATGAAAATATTTTGAAATCATGACGTGAAGGCAGAATCTTAATATATGCCGTGTAGCGGCGACGTAAGAGAATCCACTACCTCCTAACAAAGAATATATGTTAGTACTTAAAATGTCTAAGACCCCGTACCATCTCGTATCGTAAAAGGCGACAGAGGAAAATGACATAGAAATTAAACAGGAACAGGCAGCAGTTACTTCCAGATGACAACTCAAAATAATAAAAGTTGCGGTTACCAACCCACTGTGCTAGGAAAGGGAACTCTGGCAAATATTCCCCCTATGAGACAATCTATGGAAATGACCTATATTCATAAGTGCACATTTGATGGTTTGTAATTAATTAATCAATGATGGATAATATCTTGAGGTAGCACAGAAGAAAACGGGTAATATGTTCGTAATCGATTTATCGGTGCTTATGAAGGAGCGGAGAAAGACAAAGAGATTTAAATATATAGGTATACTTTAGAGTGGACATAGGGAACAATTGCATATAAAAACTTATAGAACGCGCTTGTGTGACGCCCTCTAGCTAAACATAGCAAAACTACGCTGAATATTTATTAGGAAAACATTTCAGCTATTCCCCAGTAGGTAAAGCTAATAAATGTAAGGTAAATACTCGTTTTAGGCATGTTACCGTTTCGATATCAAAGTGTCGATGATGTTGTTGAAGGTTACTAAGTTTGTAATGCTTTACGATATAATAATAGGGAATATGCATGCTTTTTTATTGCATAAATCTATTTATTATGACTCACGTCACACCAAAATAGTCATATAAACTTTTTAAGTCTAGAATAACGTAATGAATGAAATGAAATGTCATGAAATAAAATATTTAATTTCCAATAGCTAAGAATCAATTCAAACAGCAGTCACATTGGTGGCATCTTGGATGACATCACTAGGTCCATTAGACGCTGTAATAATATGATTAAATATATATTTATTATAAGAAAAATATGATAAGTCGTTGGGCGTCGAAGGCACATCGTGAAACATCAAATCCAATAAGCGAGCGCCTTAAACTTAAAAGTCGTTCAAATTCACAAATTTGCGCGTTTACCGCTAAAAAGAACACCTTTTTCGTATCTCCCCAATTTCAGAGCACTTCCCTTTTTGTCGCAGCCAGTAGTAGAATCTTCGGCGTCAACATATCGAATGAACTGCAGAAGCATGGTCACTTGGAAGAGAAAGCTAAATTGGCTTCTAATAAGCTTGGCGTACTCCGTAGAGCGGGACAGTATTTCATACCTACACATAGTTTGCAACTTTACAAGCGCAGGTTCGGCCTCACATGGAATATTGTTCTCATCTTTGGGCCGGGGTTCCCCAGTGCGAGCTCCATCCACTTGACCGCATAGAGACCAGAGCGGCTCGAATCGTTGACGACCGAGTTCTCTTTGATTGACTAGATTCACTGGCGCTGTGTAGAGATGTTGCATCCCTTTGAATTTTCTATCGTATTTACGACGTAGAGTGCTCTGAGGAATTGTTCGGATTAATTCCAGCCACCAAATTTCACCAATACACATCGCGACAAAACTTACGTTACTATCCACATCATTTGGATGCTTGGCGGCCCACTACCGTGCGATTTATTACGAGTTTTCTTAGGAATCGTTTACCATCGTCAATTTTTATACGGCGATACGACTTAGGGACCTTCAAGAGACGAGCTTACTCCTTTTTAAAAGACCGGCAATGATTCTGCGATTCTCCTGGTTTCGTAGAATTATATTAAAATTTTAAAAAGAAGGCTATCTCATTGACTGGTTGTACTGGTGGTACTAGCTGACATAGACGTTTCACGTTATAACCAACGGTCGTGTGCCCCGGACACAGGTCTACCCGATTTCTTTATTGGTATGGGTACAGTATCGTTTACTATTTTACGTCCTTAAATATTGTAGGTGATTAAATCCGCATCCTGTATAATATTTTTTATCGATTGCACCTATCGATAAACGTTGTCAATCACTAACTCTTTGGTGACGTTACTGGATAACAGAGGGCGCTTATTACAATAATGTTGGCAATCCAAAAGATTTGCGGACGGCGCGGACGGTGCGTACGTACAATTGTGCGAGGCCATCAGTAAAATTCGGCGCGTACGGTGCGTACGGAGCGGACAAATGTGCGTTCATCTTAAGGCTGGAATCACAGGACAATTCTATTAATTGTTCTTCTTCCTTTGTCGAAAGTGTTGATGGTGAGGTCGACTGGAAAGGGTTTCTAACCCAGTCATATTGCTCCAGATTATCGGGAAAATAGGTTTTCAAAATGTTCGCTTAATGATGACAAGTGCTGTGTAAATGTTAGTTTTAGAGAGGGATCAAGGCTTTCTATCGAGTTTTCTTGTAGAATGCGTTGGAAAGCAGGGAAACAGTCAGTATGTACATGATCTTCTTTTAATTTTCTCTTCCATAAGAGCAACTTCTTTTGAAACCCAGTGATTTTATCTGCCAGTTGCAGTATGTGAGTATTGTTTCCCTGCAATGACTTATTAAGATCATTTAATTTCTGAAATATGTCACAGTGATATGCCAATTTTAATATAAACTCTGTATTAATAAAGTTTTGCGCATCATTGTGTGGTTCTGTCTGTAAATAAGTATAGAACTAATGTCGTAGTTCGTATACACTTGCGAGTTGAGACATTGCCTTTGGACAACCAACGAGAGTTGCAAAAATAAATTAAAGAAGTATTCTCGGCACCCAATTCTTCACAAAGCTTATGGAAAAATCTTGCTTTCACAGGTCGTGTTTTGATGTAGTTCACTACTTTGATAATTATATACATCACAAAATTTAATTCAGGTGTAATTTTCTTTGCAGCTAAAGCCTCTCTATGTATGACACAGTGTGTCCATTTTACATTTGGAGCCTTGGTTTTAATGAGAGCTTGTAGTCCTCCATACTGTCCAAACATGTCTCGAGCACCATCCGTACACACGTCCACACAGTTCTCCCATTTAATATTATTTTCGATCATGTATGAATTTAAGATCTCAAATAAATCAGTAGCCTTACCACGTTCACATATTTTTCTGCAAAATAACAAATCCTCACACAGATTTGTTTCTTGTATATACCGCAAGTAACATATCAATTGAGCATCGTCATTACTATCCGTCGCTTTATCAAGTTGAATTCCAAATAAGCCTGAAAGTTTCTCCACAATTTGCTCATTAATATCTTCTGCCATGTCATGAATACGGCAGCTAATCGTATTGTTTGAAAGAGGTACATTTTTTATTTTTTTAGCCGCCGATTCTCCTATCATCACTGATTGGATCATACGCTGCAGGTAAAATCAGTTCCTCAGCAATTGTACGTGGCTTCTTACATTGGGCAACACGGTGAGCTACCTTGTAGGAGGCAAGCAATGCCTTGGTAGGAACCGATGCTCTTGAAAGCAAAGCCGTGGACTGATGTTTCAATTTTCTAACAAAAAAGTCTCTCGGCTTACCTTGTATATGATTGTGAGTTGTTTCCAAATGACGTTTTAGTTTATAAGGAAGCATATTTTCAGCTTCCAATACTTTATGACAAACAACACATTGAGGAAGCTCTACATTCCCTTTAGTAATATAGGTAAATCCGAAATCCAAATATTGGTCGTCATATTTTCTATACTTCTTCCGTTTTTCGGAAGTTTCTTTACTGCTTTCTCCTGAGTCTTCTTTGAATAAAATTATCCATAGTCAATATTGAAACTCCGCGTGCGTAATTAAACAAAACAAAAGCTTGACTGACTGAAACGATATGATGTATACGCGGGGGGAGGTCGACGCCGGCGCCGGCCGGCCGCCCGCGATTGACAGAACAGAATCAGAATGCGCGCGGTGCTCATTCAACTCGGTCCACAGAGTACATTATATAACTCGGTCTCATCGACACAGCCAATCTGTAGACGCCTCGCGACACTCTTGGGTTAGAATCGCGCCGCCCCAGGGCGTCGCGATGCACAGTTAGGGAAGCCCTGCCATAGGATATAAGTAAGACGAGACCATTTTGTTGGTGATGTCCAGTCTATTACTACTACTTTAATGTCTTTGAAAAAAGAGAAGGTAGATTATTATATGTATTATCGTAGCAGTGTTCCTAAGTACGTTCCGAGAGGCATACCTGTGTCGATTAGACAAACACAAAGGAATAAAATATTTCAACGGGGTTGTTACATTTTTACAGCTATTATTCCATGTGAAACCCATACAAGTCTATGTATGTATAATTTGGCATAAATATACCTACTAAATTTAAATAGATTTCATAGCGACCCTTTCATGATATATTTTAAACTAACTGTTCCCCGCGACTTCGCTCGCATGTTAGGGTTTTTATGTTTTTGCGCGGAACTCTAATTCTTTTTCTAAAATTAAAGTAACCTAAGTTAGTCCTTGTGAAATCAGCTATCTGCCAGTGAAAGTCCCGTCAAAATCGGTCCAGCCGTTTCGGAGATTACCCGGAACAAACAGACAGACAGACAAAAATTTAAAAAATTGTATTTTAGTTATTAGGTACCGTATTTTGTTTCATATGCATTTAGTAAAAAAACTGTAATTTTGACATTACAAACAGACACTTCAATTTTATTTATATTTTAATTAAATCAACTTCATTTTTGTTGTAAAATATTAGATGAAGCTTCTATTAATGTTCATTGATGTAAATAAGTATAACGGATCGGATTAATAAAAATCTGTGTCAAAAAAAGGTGTCTATGGAATAGAAAAATGGCAACAGTATTGTAAAAAAAAAGAAGTCATATGCTTAAATAGTTCTATGGAGTGTAGAGTAGACTACTCTACACTCCATAAATAGTTCGACTACAAGATTGTAGGTATGTGGTGAACTGGTAAAATGTCTGTCAAATTGTCAAATACTCAAATCAAATTGTGATTTGTCTATAGTCATTGAGCAATGAGCAGTAGTTGTCAGTGTGACCATTTGTGCAGATTTTTGCCATTTCAGCAGATTTGGCACCTAAAGGACAATTGCCAAATTTCTATAGGAGCTGGACTTGACTTTTATTTTTCATGTCCCGAAACAAACTATAGCTAGATTTTATTTTTATGATTGGTTTGTTTTTATGTTGTAAACACCAGCCCGTTTTAAAATCATATCTAAATAACCACAATGTTTTATAATAACGTCCACAATAATTCTGAGGTTAGAATAAACAACTACCTTTTATCCGACTGCGATGTAGCCTAAATGTAAACGATAAGCGAGGAGGGTGATTAGCAATCTCGTTTCCATTTATTTCGATTTCTTTCAGATCATTATCCTCAGTATCACAATCCACAACAACAAGTGAAGGTGAAGCAAATCAGATGATGCAAATAATTGCTTGCCGGGTGACAGCACAGAACACTAATACCCTGGTGACAGTCAATAGCGTCGACCGATGACCAGAGATTATGTAACTTGTCGATGACAAATGACGTTCCGTTGTTTGTAATTGAACAAAACGTTTAGCTTACTATGTAGCTACATAATTATTTTTATGACATGAATCCAGTACATAATAAATCAGTATAGAAGTTGATTTGATGCCTACATACTAATTAAATTGAATTACAATTAAAAACTATTCAGAAAAACGTGAATAAGTATAGTGTTTGAATACAACGTCCTTTCATACGCGAAATGAATCGTCATTAAGTGCGTTCCAGTGCGTTCTTAAAGCATTATTTTAAATAATTTCGGAACAGTTACAAAAAATAAATAAATGGATAACTTTTTTTGTGGCTACTTAGAGAGATATTTTTTGTGTTTTTAAGACCTTAAAAATAAGGGTATTTTTCATAAATATGGCATATAGTGACGCCATCGTTTCGTCGTCTGGTACGATTTTACCAACCTTCTTTGAACTCTGGCAGACTAAGCTGACGATTCAAAAAAGTAGCATATTTGAAAGAAATCTTTTTTACTTCTGGAATATATTTTTGTATATTAGTATTTGTATTTGAAATTTCGAAGTATTATTTTATTATTTAATTTATTTTTTAATATGCATTAAATAATAAAAAGAAATTATTTACTGAAGTGTCAACATTTGTCCAGATAGTATGGGGATTGCCCGTTTATTCTATTTTTATGGTACGCCATATGATTATGAACGATAATGAATCAGAAATAAGGTTTATTTTCTTATTAAAATAACTGATCGAGTTTCAAATCAATGTTTGTTGTCATGTCTATTTGATAAAGTTCGTACTAACCTGAGTGCTTTCGTCCTGGCTTTCCAGAGCTTTCTAGATATTGCATTTTGCAAAGCTTGCAATTGTAACTTAGTTACAAGATGACTTAATTAAAATAAAATGTGTAATCCCAAAAACATAAGAAGCATATGATTGGGTATGGCGGCCAATCATCGGTAAGTACTATTTTATTATACTTATACTATTTTACTGGACATTGTAAATTTAGATAAACGAATATTATTAAATTATATCAGGTGCAACAGTTTTTTAAAAGCTCTACATTAGAAGAAGAACTCAAAAAAGCAGAAAAATTTGTGTGCTGTGCCTAGTGGAACTCAATTTACCATTTCAATTAATGGATCATTTGAGCGAAATTATCTCAAAATGCTTTCACGATTCTGAAATTGCCAAATATTTTCCTGCAAGATAACTAAAGCAGAAGCGGTAACGTGTAATGTTTTAAAGCCAGATCTAGAAGCACAGATGCTTGCCTATTTAAAATCATGTGAAAACATAAGAAATCGTACACCAATATTTTCCTTGATTATAGATGAGACCACAAATGTCACAACCAAATCAACGCTTGCAGTTGTGGCCAAATATAATTCTGAAAAAGATCTTCAGGTAAAAACAAAATTTTTACCTTTGGTGGACTTTAACGGAGCATCAGCCCAAGATTTGTTCGGTGCACTTTCTGAGGCTTTAACTAGTACTAAACTTAATATTAAAGATGTAATTGGTTTCGGGGCTGACACTACTAACGTTATGTTTGGCGAGCAAGGTGGTATAAATGCCAAAATAATACATGTCAATCCCCATTGCATATTCATTAAATGTGTATGTCATTCTACTGCTTTGTGTGTATCTCAAGCCAGTAAAAACTCTATACCAAGGGCTATTAATCAAATAGTGCAAGAGATTTATGGATATTTTGACATAGTAGTAAAAGGCAACGGGAATTTGCTGAATTCCAAGATTCGATTGGCACTGAAAAGCATAAAATATCAAAACATTACGAAAGTCGCTGACTATGGTTGCATGCATGTATTAAAAGAATTTTAGAGGAATAGGATGACCTCAAACTTTTTTTTCAATCTCAGTTTCTGGATGACGAAAATATTCCAACTGAATTATTATGTAATAATTTGAATGACAAGGTATATAACATTTATTTTTATGCTTTGGATAATATACTGCAAATAATTAACAAACTGTACACTATATTTCAAGGAGATTATACGACAGTCCGCACAGCATTGAAAGACATTTCTGATGTGCTAAGTTGTTATATGAAAGGAAATTATTTGAAAACTACAGATCCGCTTTGTATAGATACAAAATCGAATGTGAACTTTTTACCTCTAAAGGAATTGTATTTAGGTGTGAACGTTAGTAAAGAACTTGATCGTATATCTTCAGATGTAAGTTTAAAACCTGGAATTCAATCTTTCCTTCAAAGAATGAAATTTTTAATTGAAATCTGTAATCAGTTATAAAATCGTTTGCCACTGAGCAATATTTTCAAAGACTTACAATTTCTAGACGCACAAAATGTTGTTTACAAAGATCTTTTATCAACAGCAAACATTGCAAATAAATTTCCCAATACAGTAGATGAAAATAGTATTCAAAAAGTTGACGATGCATTTCGACAAATGAAATTAGATAAAAGTGTAAACGATTTGTTGGAATCTGGTAGGAGTAGCACCAGTACAATTGTGGACAAATTCTGGGGGGCTATTGGGAAAATGCGTAATGCAAATGGAGCTCCAGAATATCCAAATATTGCAAACTTTGCAAAAGCTCGCTTATGTTTGCCTATGTCAAACGCCTCTTGCGAGAGAATATTCTCCCACGTACCCTTAAATAAAACAAAAATAAGGAACAGGCTCCTAAACAAACATGTATCTGCTTTAATCACAACAAAAGAAGGTACAAAAGAACACGGAGACTGTATCTCCTTTAAACCAACGAAAGAAGTGACTAAAAAGATGTCGTTTATATCAGTATATAATGACAATGAAGAAAATGAAAAGTATGAAGCAAATATTGAATAATAGCAGGTATTGTATACTATTGTAAGAATAATAGTGTTGTAAAGTACTTAAATGAAGAAAAAAATATGTGAAATATTGTAGTATAAAGAAGTTCCTTTGAATATAATATAGTATTTTATTTAGTTATACCCGTATCCGTGCATGCAATAATATGATGGCATATTTTGGCATTTTCTGAAGTCGGTTTGGCAGATTTTTTTCCAGTTTGTGGTAGATTTACCATTTTTGAGATGGTCACACTTATAGATGTGCCATTTTGGAAAAATTACAACTCGAGTTAACTCGAGTTGAAATTCACGCAACTCGAGTATAAACACAAGTTACTCAACTCGAGTTAGCAATACGAATCAGAGTAAATGATTTGTTACAAATTACTTTTTAGAAACTCTTTGGTGGGTTGAGATAACTATAATGACCAAACTTATTAATATATTATATTGTATTGTAGGATTGAATATGTATATTTATATATATTTATATTATAGGATTGAAATAAAAAGGTATATTTAGTATGTATCACATACTTATGTATTTTTGGTTTTAATATTAGTTAAAGTAAGTACCTGTATTTAACAACAAAACAAGCTATATAACAGTCTTCACGAAACAATATTAGTCTAGCTTTAAGATGTAGGTACACAAGCTATCAACAGATTAATTATCACGTTCAAAAATTTAATAAATATTATCAAACCTTTTCAATTTCAAAATATTTATTGTAAGTTAAGTGTTACATTACGCGTTAATTTAAAATATGATGTATCTTACAACTTAACCGCCCTTTTTATATTACAACAATAGGTCTACGACTTACGTAACTATAATGATCATAATTAATCAAACTTATAAAAGAAATTAAATTACATAACTTAGCTATTATAAATCTCTAAATAATCACTTATTTTGGTTGTAGCTAAATACTCTTTAAAACACAAAGCGCGCACACAACAAACGAATCGGTATCTGTGTCCTCACACGTATTACGTGTGAGGACACAGATACCGATGAATGTTCTTCAGAGTGATTGATTAAACAAAATATTAACAAGTGGTTATAAGTATTTAAAGTTAAAAGTAATAAAGATTTTTTATCTACAATTTAATTTGTTTTAATGTTCAAGTACCAAAATTCGTCATTCCAGCTATACTGGTTCAGTATTATCAACAGATGCTTAACTTCAAGTGTTAAAGCAATAAAATAATCACACAACAATAGATTAACATTACAGCTGTAATTGCTAAGTCTCAAGTGGAATCCTGCCATCCTATTTGAAATGAACTATACCTACAAGTGGAAGGATACTTGTTTTTAGTGGGTAACTACGTGTTTTTTTACGCGTTGTCTTTGAAATTGAGAGAAAGTGACTTTTTTATGAAGAGATTACAAACCTTTTGTACTATTTTTCGTTGTTATAAAAAAATCATTTATATAAGTAGGTACAGCTAAATCACCCTGGAAACCTTGGTTTTTATTAAATTAAATTTCCACCTAATAATAACATTTGTAAATATCAAACAATGAAGAACCTTAATTTGAAAAAAAAAAGGTATATCATTCATTGATATTTACAAATGTTAAATATTATTTAATGTTATACAAATGTAAAATTAAAGTCGATCTGAAAACGTCTAATTAGTAAGAATAGCAAAACAAGTGTTTTCAAAAGGAAAAAAACGCCGGCGCTATACGGCGGCGGATTGACAAAAGACTATTTATTAGTTAACTTTTTTTTATGCATGAACGGTTTCGAACTGTTTCAAGCAAAAACAAACCTTATACCATATCACAAGAGCACATGGTACTTCGTAGGTCTATTCGGCCATATGATAGTAATAAGACGGCAGTTCAAGCATTTTAAGCAAAATTAAACAATAAAACAAACGCATTATTTTTTTTAACAGGAGACTTGTTTTCCAGAAATTTATTTACAACTTGAGTTCGTGAGTGATTTCAATGAGTGCTATTATTTGTTACTTATTAGACATTTTTTCCATAACATGATTTAAAACCCACGAAGTAAAAATAGTACCATGTACACGTTAAAAAAAAGGTTGTCAACCCCTAAAAATTTCAAATTTTCAAAATATCCAGAAACGAAGCTGCATGCATGAACTACACGCAAAATAATGAATATTTAGTTCTGGATAAATTTTCCAAAAAATCAATTTGAGCGAGTTATAACGATTTTTAAAAAGACACGACTCGCGTGTCATATGCCACACACAAAAGTAATCGATGGCATTCTTGGCGTGTCACTCGCATTGAACCGGTTAAGTCGAGTTAAGCGCAACTCGAGTTAACTCGAGTTAGTAACTCGAGAACTCGAGTTGACGCATCACTATTCACATTTCACACTGCTAGTTGTGGTTGGTCGTGGTATAGGTTTTCCGTCTGAGTATCTTTTCATTAAAATTCTACAAATTAAATAATATATCATCAAAATGAGTAACAAACTACAGGAGTATAAAGACACGATAGAGAAAAACCTTAGGGACAAAACGAAACCATGGACCAAGTTTTTCGACATGGCTGAACAAAAAACCGGCCTGAATAGAGTATATCTATTCCTAGGTAAGTTCCGTTTTTCATAGCGTTTATTTATATCCTTAGCGATACATTTACTATTTGTTTTGTGTCGGCAGGAATCGTCGCATTCACCGGGTTATATTTAGTTTTTGGGTTTGGGGCTGAATTGATATGTAACTCAATCGGATTCGTGTATCCAGCGTATATGTCAATGAAGGCTCTAGAGTCGCCTCAAAAAGATGATGACACCAAGTGGCTGACGTATTGGGTGGTGTACGCATGTTTCTCGATTGTCGAGTACTTTTCCGACTTCATTGTGGGCTGGTTTCCTCTCTACTGGTTAATAAAGGTCAGTACGGTGATTATTCCATATGTTCGCCATTTTGAGCATATCCAATTATAAAACCTGTATTTTTTTAGGTTTTTATACCATTTCATCAAATATTACAGACTAAAGTATTAAACGATTTCTGTGTAAATCGAAGTATGAATAAAGAAAATACCATAACCTTAAAAACTTAATAATAATTTTAAACCTAATAATGAAATTTTGAATAACCATATAAAGTATATCTTTAAAATTAAAAAAAAAATGTATAGGGTTACAAAGTCAATAATAGCACCACTTGTTTGCTCAGCTGGTCTATTGAAATGATAATTTATTCAATTTAAATTATCTCCGTGCAAATAAACATATTTACTTTTAATTTAAAAAAAAAGTTATGTAAAATTTAAACAAGGTATATCTAAATACATACATAAACACTCACGCCTGTCACCCAGAGGGGTAGGCAGAGATTATGGACTTCCATTTGGCACGATCCTGACACACCTCTCTCGCTTCCTTCACATCCATATACCTACGCATACACGCTTGTCGGTTAAAGGTACTCTTGATTTGGCCCATTTTTAATATATCGCCAATTTGGTCGATAATCTTTCGCCTAGGGCGACCCTTCCCGACTATGCCGTTCACCTCTGCAACATAAATTTGCTTTGTCACTCTTTCCTCATTCATTCTTTCTATATGGCCAAACTACCGAAGCATTCCTTTCTTAATCCTGGTCACAACATCATCTTGCAAACCACACTCTTCTCTTATTAAACAATTTCTCACTCTGTCATTCAGATTCATCCCTAACATACTCCTTAATGACCACATTTCTACAGCATTTATTCTACTCACGAGAGTAGAATAAATGCTTCTTCTGTCACATCCAAATCTAAATACTATTCTTAATATTAAGACTGAACTGCACAGAGAAATAATTTTTGTGGTCTAGTAAGAAACATTTATATTATACAGTACCCATTTTACATTAATGATTACTTGGTTAAATTAAACCTATTAGGATCTAATTAAACATTTTGATTGTATCAAAATAATAATAATAATTTATTAGACTCTGTTTGACAAATTACACTTATGTATTATATCTATTTTAAATTACAAAATAATATTTCAAAGAAGTTAGCATTGACGGAAAACACATGTAAAATATAATGACTCATTGATAAGTGAAAAAAAAAGAGTGCAGTTAAATATTATAGATAAATGAATAATCATAATTATCTAGGGAGATAAGAAATAGTTTCCAAAGAAAATTTATTTTAGATTATCTTAAGTTACATATATAAAATTAGCTTATCTTGAATTTATATGTGCCTTATCTTTTGAGAACTAATTGCCTATTTCTAATGTGTTAATTTAGTTAATAATGTCCTCCAGACCGAATTTCGCTCACGGCAACCAGCCTCAATAGAGACTAGCCATCCAGGCAGGACACAATTATAGTGCCCAAGTGTATGTGCAAGCACAAGTGTACTCTGTATTCCCTCACTCTCATAGTCCGATGGGACGGTAAACCGACACAACCAGAGAGAGATTAGGCACAGGACCAATGGCTTTACATGTTTTCTGAGGTATAGGGGTGAGACACCACCAACTTCCTGACTCTGAGCAGCTACTGAGAATTTCTTCACAGAAAAACTCAATAACTGATTTTTTGGCCCGACCCGGGATTCGAACCGGGGACCTTGTGATCTGCAGTCAGACTTACAACCACTAGATCAGTGAGACAATCAATTAATTAAATTATGTATAATTCCAGATAAATATCAGTTAAATAACATTCCATTTATTATTTAATACTATCATTGGATTTTATATCAGATGAGTTAAGTACTATTTCTTGTACCAGAGCATTTGTTTCTAAACCAATATGATAACAAATTATTCATTAACAATAAAAATTGAAAATTTCCATTATATTCACACACCATTAAGAAGTATTAGTCGGGGAAAACATGTACTTTCAAGTGAAGCACATTGACAGTAGTTATTATCACCAAAGTATATTAAACACTTAACTTTGTGAAACTTAACTGTATCTAGTTGCTATGTGGCAATTAAAAAAATAACAGGACTATCTCAAACCTCAGGGATTGCCATATTCAGTGATTTATGATTATAAGTAGATTTAGACAATGCACAGCAGCCCTCAACAGCTGGAGTTTTGGCAGGAACTTGGCCGGCGGTGGATTGTTGCTCCTGTATTATTGTTTAAATAATGGTTTGAAGTGGATTTTGATATGTAAAAGTGGTGCGATTTTGTTTATTAAGTATCTGAGCATGTGAACTATTAGTGGAAATGGTGAAACAAGTGCTCTGATGGTGATGTGATTCTCAAGATATGGCGTCTGTCTGCTTAGGTGCCTTGAGCCACTACTGCTAACTGTCAGCTGTCTGATAGCTCAAGTTGCCGTCAAAATCTCCTAAGGGCTGCACAATGTGATGCTTCAACAGACTGTGAAGCAGTGTACTATGAAGAATAATTATACATTGTAACTTCAGGCTCAGAAGGGCTAGAACCCAGAGCCGTAAAGCCAGTAATAAAAAAACCTCAACAGCTTGTAAAGTGTCTACTGCTGTTCTTGTGCCTCTTCTACGATGGAGAAGATTTACTGTAACACCTACATGTGGAAGTGGATTCACACTTTCAATGCTGTTCCATTGCTGACCATCATTCCGCTATCTGTTGGTAGTCTACAAACACAGTCAGTGTCCATTTTCAATTACTTGAATCTTACAAATCCCACACAGCTAAATGTTAGTGATAGAGTATCTTAGGCACTTTCTGTACGATGACACAGAAAAGTAAAGATAACATTAGATAGTAAAAATCAACAAATAATACAAGTACTATATAAAATAAACATTAAGTGATTGATTACCAGTAAATCAATACATTTGACAATACTGGATTTCTATGGGAAGCCACAAAATTTTTCTTTTTCTTAAGTTATAGTGGTAGAGCCATGCAGCAGCTATATTATTAGTATAGTATAGTTGTAGCATGAATATTTAGGCTCGACCGGGGAAGGACCACACTCTCACAGAATACCAGCCTAAAATAGCAGTTTAACACTGCAATTTCGTATGGCGAGTGTAGAGAACCGGAGACCCTGTTTACTGGAAAAGAGGCATTCCATCTTAGTCCTCACGGGTGGCAACACATCTGCATTTTGATTTGCAAATGAGGATAAATGTAGATGTCTATGGGCCGCAGCCACCACTTACCATCAGGTGGACTGTGTGTTCATTTGTCACCCTATCCTATAAAACAAAAAGTTGTCAGTTGATATGGGAAATTTTTTTGTGAAGTAGTGGTGACAAACAAGGTGTAAATTTAAAAAATTTGTACAACCGAATTCAATATAAATAAAATGAGAACATCAAAGTAGACGAAAGATCGTCACATCTTAATCAAATTTATATGGCACCATATGAGAAGCACTGGCTTTCAAATAAAAAAAGAATTGTTAAAATCAGTTTACCTAGAAAAAAGTTCTGAAGTAATCTATACAATAAATAAAATTGAAGTGTCTGTTTGTAATGTTACAATTACAGCTTTTTACTAAATGCATATGAAAGTATATACTGTAGTAAGAACAAAAACACAATTTTTAAAATTTTTGTCTGTCTGTTTGTTCCGGCTAATCTCCGAAACCGCTGGACCGATTTTGACGGGACTTTCACTGGCAGATAGCTGATGATATAAGGAATAACTTAGACTACTTTTGTTTTAGAAAAAGAATTAGGGTTCTGTGCAAAAATATTAAAACCCATGAAATTCATATTCCATGCGAGCGAAGTTGTGGAGAACAGCTAGTACATAAATAAATATGGTTGAATTGAGAACCTCCTCCTTTTTTTGAAGTCGGTTGATGAGCACACCTTGTGATAAGTGATAATGTTGTGGCCCATAGACACCTACATTTATCCATTCCCAATTCATTATGAATTCCCATTACCAGTAATATGGATTTTAAGTTTTACATCACTCCTCACATGAAACACTGCAGCATCATGCTATTGTTTCACCTTGGCTGCTGTTGGTGTAATTATTATGCAGCCCGTGACCCAGATATTGACAATTTGTCTTAATCGCCACTCTCGGCAGGCAGAGTAATCATAAGATGGTTTATTATGCCGCTGCCAAATGGTAAAATTGTTAATAACCGCATAGTACAATTGTTACAAGTTCTTTATGGAACCTCATTAATATTTTATGTTATGCTAATCAGCATTCAATAATTGGTGAAACAGGGCGAAACAAATGGATGCATGTAGATGAATGTCCCATTGAGATCATTTTTACAAAATAATCCTTAATGAGAGTACACAGTTGCTGCTATAATATTTGTCCACAATCAGTTGGGAACAGAGCTGAAATGGCCGATAAATAGAGGCAATCTTGTGTTTATTTGAAACATTACAGCTTTTAGAACAACAATGAATTAACCTTAGATATCTTTGTTTTTAGTTATGAACTTTATTTACTATATATAAAAGTTAAAAAGTTAAAGTTACAGCCTATATACGTCCCACTGCTGGGCACAGGCCTCCCCTCATTTCTGAGAGGGTTTTAGGGCAAGTAAATTTTCGCCACGCTACCCAAATACGTGTTGGCGAACTTCAGTTTTCAGCACATGGTAATCAGCACTTAAAATTGCAAATAATAATTTCATTGGTGCCAGCGGGTATCGAACCCGGGTTGCTCGATGAAATTTACAGCGAGCGCTAACCATCTGACCTACAGATGGCTACTATATACAGGCTGGTCCAAATAGTTACGTCCAAAAGAAAAATTTAAATTCCCCACACCTAGGGGTATCTGTGTATATTATCCGATTTTTTGTAGTTTTCGAGTTATAATTTGTTTTGTATTATTTTTTTAGTGTATTCTGCCGGTGGGGCTTCAAAAATTTACATATTTTTTGTAGTAGTTATTTTTCAGATTTTTTTCTTTTGACATAATTGTTTAAAATTATACTTCACACATAAAATAATACATTTCCTAACATTCCTGCAATTTACTCAAAAAAGCATTGAAAGTAAGAATTTTAGTTTTAGTGAGGTAGACTCAAATTTTCATCCTTAATTTAAAAATACAAAAAGGAGTTTCCATAGATTTTAGCTGACTTTAAAAACTTTGCATATCCCTAAGCTAATTAAAACATTTAAAAAAATTGGTACTTAATGGGCAATTATTCGCTGAAATCGGCCTTCGAAGGTGGATAGGCTAAAAATCCACGAAAACCATTTTAGTTTTATAAAATTATTTTGCCTATTTTTGTCATTCTTATGTAAATTTATGTCATAAAATGTAAAAAATAAAGGGTCGAACATGGGGTATTTTCGGATACCCCCAGATGTGAGAAACTTAAATTTTCCATTTGGACGTCACTATTTGGACCATTCTGTATATTAAAAATCAATTTTACTTTGCGTGACTGTGACTTGTGAGCATCTAGAATAATATAAATTGATCAACTGTTCATGTGCAATGCACATTTACTTTTTGTATGTGTAGTACATTGCATCTAATAAGGGCACATCTTAACAATAGAAATACATATAAAACAAACAAATTTCTTTGAACACAATTGTAAAACATATATTGTAACAAAGCCGGTGTACTTTAGTCAATGTTTATTACAGTTAATTTAATAACAATAATAATAAATGGGATTCTGTGATGGACCGCTCCAAGCTCAAATGTAGAAGGCGGTGTTTCTGGTTGGGTTTTTATTTATTTATGTATTTTTTATGTATTTATTTAATTTTTATTGATATTTATGTATGTTTATCATTTTCATACAATTATATATTCATACAGCCCAACCAGATGAGAAAACTTTATAAATACAAGATGAAAACAATAACAAAAGTTGATTTGTGTATGTGGTATAGCCATGCTCCAAATAAGAAAATTATCACCATGTTGTAGCAACGTTCTCAGACATGCAGATTTCCTCACGATTATTTATTTTGAGTGTAGATAATATTTTCAACCGACTTCAAAAAAAGGAAGAGGTTCTCGATTTGACTGTTTTTTTTGTATGAGTTACGTCAGAACTTTTTTCTAGGTGCATCGATTTGGATAATTCTTTTTTTATTTCAAAGCTGGTGCTTTGAGAAGCACCAGCTCATGTGGTCCCATATAAATTTGATCAATATCTGAACAGTAGTTTTTGAGTTATCCTTAATAATGTGTTTTTAATTGACTTTGACTACATTATATGGGGATAGTCATGATATAGTATTATTTGCTGATGATACTTCCTTGATTTTTAAACTTAAACGTCAATCATTTAAATGTGACGAAGTGAATAATGCTATATCAAAATTAGTGCATTGGTTTAACGTTAATAATCTGCATTTGAACGGAAATAAAACTAATTGTGTTAAATTTACAACAACGAATGTTAAAAATCTTAATACCAATGTGTTTTTAAATGGGGAGGAATTGAGCCCTGTTGTATCCACTGTTTTTCTTGGCATCACTCTTGACGCAAAGCTACAGTGGGGCCCCCATATATCCAAATTAGCAAGCAGACTAAGTTCTGCAGCCTATGCTGTAAAAAAGATTAGAGGTCTCACTAGTGTCGAGACAGCTAGATTAGTTTATTTTAGTTATTTTCATAGCATAATGTCTTATGGGATTTTGCTATGGGGAAATGCGGCTGATTCAGAAACTATTTTTGTTTTACAGAAGAGGGCCATTAGAGCTATTTACAATCTAAAACCGAGAGAGTCCCTTAGAGATAAATTTAAAGAAATTAATATATTAACTTTGGCCTCTCAGTATATTTACGAAAATTTAATGTATGTTCACAAAAACAAAGATAGTTTTAGTAAAAGAAGTGATATACATTCTGTAAACACTAGGAACAAACACAAGCTAGTGATACCAGTTTCTCGACTCCACAGAGTCAGTAATTCATTCTTGGGGCAATGTATACGCTATTACAACAGGGTCCCGGAAAGTGTACAGGTTCTCTCTATTACCAAGTTTAAATGTTTTATTAAGCTGAAACTGTATAAAAAGGGTTATTATAGTATAAATGAATACATGGTTGATAATAACCCCTGGGAATGAGGTGATCGCTTCCAAGCAGTTTCTAAAATAAATTTTGTAAATAGTTCGTAATCATTTTTATTGTAAAATTTATTTAAAAAAAAAGTCCCGCTGGGTTTCTTGCTGGTTCTTCCCAGGACAGAGGGTTTTTTCGAACCAGTGGTAAAGTAAAAAATGACTTTCAATAAGAATTACACATGTAATGTATATTGAATAAAAAATATTCTATTCTATTCTATTCTATTGATGATGTTCTCATTTTATTTATATTGAAGTCGGTTGTACAATTTTTTTTTACTTTATTACTTGTTTGTTATAAAATTAAAATTCGTTCTAACTAAACGTACAGCAGGGTTAATCAAGAAGTCTTTCTACAATTGTTAACACTAGAAAACTATAAAAATAAATTAGAATGACATATCTGAACATTAAATCTTGTAATATAGTGTAAAATCATGTGACTAAGCCTTGATTACATTTTGTATGGTTTTCTATAGCGGTAACAAACATGGAATGTCATCTGGGTTATAATATTTTTTTTTGTTTTGAAAATTTTGGTTTTTGTATGTACCTATTTCATTCGAAATCTTTAAAATAATTTGTTATTTTAATTTATTATATTGGATTACTAAACCTATATTATATGTGGTTTTACAGTGCATCTTCGTCATATGGTGCTACTTGCCTTTTGACTACAATGGCTCATTGATAATTTACAACCGTATCATCCGTCCCTATTACCAGAAACACCACAGTAAGATCGACGATATCGCCACTTCCGGTAAGTGAAATAACTTTATAAATGTGTGTTGTTTGTGAAATTAAATGTAGATAGGTCTTGTAATGTTACAGACAGATCAAAACATAGTTAGTGAATATCTTAAGTAAAAAATGTTCTTAAAAAGCCACTGTCCTATATCATCTAATTCTTTATTATTCATTTTAACTTCTACATTCATGTAGGACGTAGTATTTTGAAAATAATGTCCTGGAGATGTAGTGAGAGGAATGACACAGGAGATGGGCGGCAGCAGTAGTTCACTTCTGCATTTTGCCTCGTGAGTGCAGGCCGGATGCCCAATCCCCCCCCCCCTGAATTTGAATTTCTGCAGTATCAGGGGACTTTATTCAAACCTTAACGCCGTTCACTACAATCTGGAGACGGCAAAGCCGGCCTTGCTCTTTCTAACCGAGACACAGATAGTCTGCTGTAACCGGGTAGGAGAGATACTTCGTATCTCTCGGGGTACAAATTAGAACACTCCTTTGTGCCCCGAGCTGGAGTTAGCGTATACGTCAGAGAGGACATCCGTTTTCAATCGGCAGTCTTAAAGGTACGACGACCATCCCCGCGTCTACGGGTGCCTCTATAAATCCCATAGCGGCAATGCCAACACAGACCGACTCATCGTCCACGTTCAAATGGCTACAGACTCCGTGCTACAACTGGTCCCATCCGCAGAGATCGTGATGTTTGGTGATTTTACGCCCACCACGCTGAGTGGCTTGGTTCCCGTTTAACCGATCATGCGGGTAGATCTGTTTTTGACTTTGCCTTGACATATGGTCTCACAACTGGTTATTTCGCCTGCACTGATCCCAGATGTGGTGGATCATGTACCTACCCTGTTGGATCTACTGCTGACCTCTCATCTGGACGGATATCAGGTCTCCGTCGTTGCCCTACTTGGCTCTTCGGACCATTGTCTGATCCGGAGTATGGTGCCACTCACGTTGCCATCGCAGTTGCGATCTGCAGCTTGCCGCCGTGTTTGGCACTATAGGCCGCCCGATTGGGACGGGATGCTGTCTTTTTTTGCATCCTACCCTTGGGGGCGAGTTTACTTCTCGCCGGATGATCCCAACGTTGTTGCCGATTCTGTCGCTGATGTGGTACTTCAGGGAATGGAATTATTTATTCCATCATCTGTGGTGCCTAATCGGATGTAGAACTCAGTCATGGTTTGATCGCTCCTGTAAAATTGCATCACGCTATAAGCAGGAGTGCTACCGGGTCTAGGCTTGACGCATCAACGTCCCGGGATGTAAACACCAGCGCTCTTAAAAAGAAGTATAATTCCGCCTCCAGGTGCTTGAAAAGTGTTATTGCCAAGGCAAAGTCAGAGCACATCTGCAGAATTGGTGAGAAACTAGTTCCCTCCCTTCGGGAACACGTGCATTATGGTCTCTCGCCAAGGCTGTCCAAGGGAACTTCTGTTAGCCATCTCTGCCCAGGGTGGACGACTCAATGGCCCATGCCGTAAAGGAGAAATCCGATGTGCTAGGCTCTCTCTTTGCTTCAAACTCTACTCTCGATGACGGCGGGAACGAGTGCTCCATGCAAGAAGTGCTGTTTACACATCGCTCGGCGCACAAGCACTCCTCTCCCTGGACGTCAACAAGTCGAGTGGGCCTGATGGAGTCCCACCTATTGTGCTGAAGACGTGCGCTCCGGAGTTAGCACCGGTTTTAACGTCTTTGAGCGTCTTTAAGCGTCTTTTCTGGTACTCCTACTCCCTAGGCGTAGTCTTGAACTCATGGAAGACAGCTTTGGTGCACCCGATTCCTAAAAAAGGCGACCCCTCAGATCCGTCCAACAACAGACCTATCGCTACCACCTCCTTGTTCTCCAAAGTAATGGAAACTATTATTAACTGCCAGGTCATGCGGTTGCAACCTTGAGGATCACCAGCTGATTAGAGGCCGCCAGTACGGTTTCCGTCGAGGTCGCTCAGTTGGTGATCTTCTAAGTAACCTAACTCATAGATGGGCGGAGGCAGCGGAGTCCAAGTGAGAGGTGTTGGCGGTTAGTTTGGACATAGCGAAGGCCTTCGATCGGGTTTGAAACAAAGCGCTTCTTTCGAAGCTTCCTCCCTATGGGCTTCCCCGGAAATTGTGCAATTGGATCACTAGTTTTCTTGCAGAGCGGTGCATCAAGGTCGTAGTAGACGGTGCATACTCCGATTACAAGCCCATTAACGCTGGTGTCCCACAAGGCTGCGTGATATCACCAACGCTGTTTCTTCTGCATATCAATTATATGTCGCAGACTGGTAATATACATTGTTATGCAGACGACAGCACTGGTGATGCTTTATACACCGGCCGTGCCAATATTTCTCGGGAAAACGTCGCCGAGTACCGGACCAAACTTGTGTCTGAAGTCTCGGACTGGGGGCGACTAAATCTAGTCCAGTTCAATCCCCAGAAGACACAAGTTTGCGCGTTTACCGCTAAAAATAACCCCTTTGTCGTATCTCCTCAGTTTCAAGGCACTCCCCTTGTTGCCTCAGCCAGTATCGGAATCCTCGGTGTCGACATATCGAGTCATGTGCACTTTCGTGATCACTTGGAAGAGAAGGCCAAATTGGCCTCTAAAAAGCTTGGCGTGCTCAGCAGAGTTAGACAGTATTTCATGCCGACACACCGCTTCCAACTTTACAAGACGCAGGTTCGGCCCCACATGGAATACTGTTCCCATTTCTGGGTAGGGGCTCCTCAGTGCCAGCTCCTTCCACTTGCACCAGCGCAGAGCGGTTCAAATCGTCGACAACCGAGTTCTTTCCGATCGACTTGACTCACCGGTACTGCGTAGAAATGTTGCATCTCTTTGCGTATTTTATCGCATCTGCCAGGGGGAGTGCTCTGAGGAATTGTTCGGAGTAATTCCAGCCGCTAAATTTCACCATCGCACATCACGATAAAACACGCGATACCATCCATACCATCTGGTGGTCCACAACTGTGCCGATTTAGAAGAAGTTTTCTTCCTCGCACAACTTCCTTATGGAATTCACCAGCGATTTTTCCGGACCGATACGACTTAGGGACCTTCAAGACAAAAGCCTACTCCTTTTTAAAAGGCCTCCAACGCATCTGCAATTCTCCCGGTGTTGCAGTTGTTAGTGGGTGGCGGTAGTCACTTACCATCAGGTGAGTCGCATGCTCGTTTGCCCCCTCTCCTATAAAAAAATTATACTATTGTGTATTCGATTACAAGAGCTCTTTCAAGGGTATAGAAACAAACGTTGTAGAGCCATGCTGCAGCTATACTAGTAGCATAGTTGTAGCACGAATGGGTCGGCTCGACCGGGGTAGGACCACGCTCTCACAGAATACCAGCGAAAAATAGCAGCTTAACGTTGCTGTGTTTCGTATGGTGAGTGTAGAGAACCGGAGTGCCTTTTTACTGGAAATAAGGCATTCTATCTTAGTCCTTGGGGTGCTAACGCATCTGCATTTTGATTCCTAATCGAGGATGGATGTAGATGTCTATGGACCACAGTAACCACTCATTATGAGGTGGACTGTGAGCCCGTTTGTCACACTTTTCCTTAAAAAAAAAATAGAAAGCTAGTGAAATACAGGCCATTCGGCATTCCATCTCAACAATTCTCATAGTTTGACGGAAGCTGATTGCAAGTGTCCATGGGCTGTAGACACTTAGTGTTAGGGCTGTAAGCCTTTTCGTCTCTTTAATTAAAAAATAAAAGAAATCATTGGAGTAGATATTGTTATATAATCAGGAAAATTTAGTTATAATATGTAAAGACATGTTTTAAAATATGGTACATAAAAAATAAAAAAATTTTTGTATGTTTTTTTTTAATCTGTCTGTAACATGCCACACTTAATAAGGAGGTATTAAATTTGCATGTCTACATTTAAAGGGCTATAAAATGCCTGATTCTGGACGCTTGAGGAATTTTTTGGTAATTTAAGATTTTATTATAGAGTGGTGTTTGGTGAGGATGCAATTATCTAAAAATCGTCTTGGAAGACCTAATGAGAAATATTTATTGAGTTTTAAGTCATTTATACTTTAGCTATAAATACTATTAAATACTATAGCTGAAAAAAAAATATAAAATCTTTTAACTTTTTGGTCACGAAAATATTTACGATAGAAGTTGTAAAGTACTATTCTGCCTGTATATTTGATACTATTTACTTCCACAACAAATTCTTAAGTATATTTGACATTTTTAGACCCATTGAAAAAGATTATTAAGGATGCAAACAAGCAAATAGATAAGACACTCAAAGCCTTCAACAAAAAAATTGACGAGCTGCACGACGATTAGTTTTTTTTTTTGCTGTCAATTAAGTACTGCAGGTACAATATGTATACAGGATATTAAATGCTTTGCATGAATAAGGGCACAATATTTATCGCAATGGTTAGCGGTAGAAATATTTCTTTTGCCGCCATATTTGTTTGGGTTGCTTGTGTGTGGTTTCTAACATTTGTCAATATCATATGCCTACATTTTGCTTAAATTTATTTATCGGGAATGACGTATAAAGTTTTACGTTTATGTAATATTGCAAGTGTTTATCATTTTTAACAATTTTCTTTAGTTTTTGTAACACTTGAAACTAATGTATAAAACTGTCTTATGTTATTCTAAAAATGAATATTTTACTTTGTGATTTACTTAAATGAGGCTCCTATTCTTGTCATATCGATAAAAAATTAGTTCTTTTTTAAAATAAGTGTCACACCGAATTGAGCCAATGACAAATGACGTTTATTTTATGCAACAATTTTTATTAATTTTATTACATTATTTTAATTGAATCAATCTTTTTGTAATTTTTTATAGGTACTTTATTTTTCATATTTTTAAACCAAAGTATATTAAAGTAAAATGAACTAGCTAAATACCAAATTAAAAATAACTGGCATAAAAATCTATTTGACAAAGGTTTTTTTTTATTTAATTTTATGTTTGAACAGCGCGAACACGATTTGCACAAGTAAATGTCCATCTGTTGGTGCAAGACGTCAATAGAAGGCTAAATTGTTCCATGAGAAAGTTAACAGCTTGATTCCATTTTTGTCTTGTATGTTTTGTTTTATCTTGTCCTATAGAAATCATTAATAATAATGTAAATATTTAGTTTCTATTAAAAATTGTATTGTAATATATTGGTAGATGACCAATTGTTCTACTTACCATTCATTTATTATTTTGTCTGAAATATATTATTTTTAAACGTAGGAGAGCCACGCTGCAGCTATATTATGGTTGTAGCACGAATGGTTCAGTTCGACCGGGGCAAGACCACTCTCTCACTGAATGCCAGTGTAAAATGGTAGTTTATTACTGCTGTGTTTCGTATTGAGTGAGAGAACTGGAGACCCTTTACTTTACTGGAAACGAGGGATTCCATTTCAGTCCTCACGGGTGACAATGCATCTGCATTTTGTTTCTTAATCGTGGACTTACCATATCAGGTGGGCTGTGTGCTCATTTATCACTTATTCTATAAATATGTAAACGGTATTAATTTGTATTATTAAGACTGTCAAATATAATTATCATCACAATCACATTTAGGAGGTGTCTATCATCATTTAGTGTAGAGTTTTGTTTGTAATTTTGATTGAGTACACATTTGTTTTTTATTTTGTTTTTTTTTAACACTGCATCACTTTTTAGGTAAACAAGAATAGTGCACAAACATACATAGTACTCCGATATGTAAGTAAAAATCAATTAGATGGGCCGCTTTTGGTGTTTAATATTGTCAAGGATAAAAAGTTACTCATTATTTATTTAAACATATAGTTGTTTGTTATTGGTTTTGTTTCCATATTACAGAATGAAATTTAAAACATTGGCATCCTTTAAACTAAGAATATACTCGATGAGTAGTGATGTAAGATTATCAACTACCCCCATATTGTCCTGTAGGTGTCGTAATAGGCAACAGAGGGAAACAAATCAGAAGATGGGCAGCACACCGGCTTCCTAAAAACAACTTTAAATATTTAAAAATTGTGTACAACCGACTTCAATATAAATTTTGAACAATAACTCAAAAACCTTGATCAAATTTATCAAATTTATATGTAACCAAATGAGAAGCACCAGCTTCCAAATAAAAAAGAATCATCGAAATCGGTTCACCCAGAAGAAAGTTATGAGATAACACACATAAAAAAAGAACATACAATCGAATTGAGTACAGTCTCTTTTTTGAAGTCTGTAGAAAAGCGGTTGCTTTGACAATCCCCCTATGAGGCAATTAAAGCAGTGGGACATTGGATAACTGTAATGAATAAAAAATATTTGTACAGACAATCTAATATAACATAAGTTGGGATTATATAAGTCTAAAGCTTAGAAAGTATTGCAAGTAAGGAAAATTGTCTAAAACGTAAGGAAATCATATTAGTAATTTTTCGACGGACCATTTTTGCAAATAAACACGAAAATAGTTAATATTACTAAACTAGCTGGTACCCGGCGCGTTGCTGGCACAGAAGCATTAATTGTGGAAATATCCTTTTAAAGCAGACAATTTCTTTATGTATGGAGAATGGGCCCACCACAAATTGTGGCATAACTTAGTGAAATACATGCCGATTTATTCATTATAACCTATAGATTACAATAGTAATATTCGTTTTACCGTATCTAACGGGAATACTGAGAAATTAACAATTTAAATATGAATTACAATTTAATTTTGACGGCTCCGTGGCGTTAGTGGCTTAGCAATGAGTTGCAACGCTTGGGGCCGCGGGTTCGAATCCCGCACGGAACAAGTATTTGTATGGCCTACAAATAATTGTTCCGGGTCTGGATGTTTGTCCTTGTGCAATATATGTTTGTAAACTGTCTTCACGATACAGGAGAAAATCCTAGTGTGGGGGTATAACGTTTTTAAAAAAGAAAAGAATATCACAATAACCTAAACAAACTAAAAGCGATTGTCTAGTAGTTTTCACCGGTATTATAAGTTAAAATAGTGTACTGGTCAATAATTAATAGCATAAAACAAAATTGTAGGTTCATTCGGCATTTATAGGTACGCTAATATTGATGAATAATCCTTTCAGTAGTTCGTTCTTCGTTACACGCATTTTTTAAATATTAAATTAGCTATAACACGAATATCAAAACAACCGTTTTTTTTTTCAAATTTCATGATTCAGGTTAAATTTTTAAATCGTTAGACCGTTACAATAAATTGATTTTTCTTTTTTTATCTATACATCTATACAAATAAATAAAATTGAAGTGTCTGTTTGTAATGTCAAAATTACAGCTTTTTACTAAATGCATATGAAAGTATATAGGGTACTAATAACAAAAATACAATTTTTAAAGTTTTTGTCTGTCTGTCTGTTTGTTCCGGCTAAACTCCGAAACGGCTGCACCGATTTTGATGGGATTTTCACTGGCAGATAGCTGATGTCACAAGAAGTAACTTAGGCTACTTTTATTTTAGAAAAAGAATAACACGCGGGCGAAGTCGCGAGCAACAGCTAGTGTAATAAAATTGTTACGTTAAAATTTCTATTGGGCCCCAAAACGATTATCTTTTTTGAGTCACAGTGTTTAATTAGGAATTATGATACATTCATTGAAGTTAAATAATATTTAACTTTCAAATAATTTTTGGTACGATACGCGCGTTACCTACTTACTGTAAGTTAATTATACTTTGCCTATAACCTTCGCATAACTGCAAGCAATAAATTGACAACCTGATGTAACGGTATGGGCAGCGCATAAAATACGAACAGACAAAAACTAATTTTATATACATATTAGATAACAACGTTCAATAAGTCGTGACCTCTCAAAACGTGGCAAACACAGTTTATTGTCGGTCATGGACAATGACAAACTCAAGGTTGCGTGTATTCATAACAAATTAAACAAAATTAAAGATACAGTCTATGAGCAACACTCGCCAGACTTAGTGACGACTGGGTTACCTTGCTTATTAGGCGACTTGAAAAGAGCAGAAGGTTAACAATTACATTGTTTATTTTTATGTATGTTATTTAAGCGATATCTTCGTCTATTGTGAAGCGATTTTAATTATTGTTTTTTTTTTTTATTAAATAGGTTATACTTCAAGGGTGGGAAAATAAGGAGTTGAAGTTTTTAATGTAACTAAATCAGGTTTTCGCAACCTTTTTTTTGATCAGGGACCACGTTGATTTCTTTGTTGTTAGCGGGGAGTACAAGGTGAAAGAAAAAAACTATGTTAATGTAACTGTAATAAATTTTAATTAACAACTTTTAATATAATTATACAATAAACTGAAAAGAAGCATTCATTTACAGTATTATTTGTGTATTTATTGTAAAAATAATTTAAAACGCGACGTGCGGTGTTGCACTGCCCAAGTGACAAGAAAATAATAAATGTGTCATTTGAAAGGATTAGGTAGGTAAAATATTTAAACCTTTTGCGGACCATATTTAAGATCTAGCGGACCACTGGTTGGGAATCGCTGATTTAAACGATATTTTTTTTTATCTAAGAAGGGTCAGTAAAAAATAAGTTAATTATTTTACTATTATTGTTGAATCCAATTTTTCTGCGTCGTTACTAATTTAATTTATTTTAAACTAGCTGTCCCACGCGACTTCGCCCGCGTAGAATTACTACGATTCCATGGGTCCCAATTTTTTGCGCGGAACCCTAATTCATTTTCTAAAATGAAAGTATCCTCAATTACTCCTTATAACATCAGCTATTTGCCAGTGAAAGTCCCGTCGAAATCGGTCCAACCGTTTCGGAGATTAGCTGGAACAAACAGACACAAATTTTAAAAATTGTTTTTTTTTTTGTTATTAGTACCCTATATACTTTCAAATGCATTTAGTAAAAAGCTGTTATTTTAACTTTACAAACAGGCATTTCAATTTTATTTATTTGTAGATATCACTCAACATAAGGAGATAGGTTCAATGGATGCCAACGGCTTTAATTTCAGCCTGTAATAGACTCTTGTAATATTAAAATAGTATAAATTCACACAGAACTAACAATGCAACTTGTTACATATATACATTGACATCTACGCTGCCACATATCAAAACCCAACCCCGGCTTCAAACTAAAGAGCATAGAACACAAATTGCTTTGTGATGTTAATACTTCATAAAACCACTAAAATAACGAATGCATAACGCTAATTCGATTCGCAAATAACGCAATATTCAATTGGCTAAAGCAACTAATTAGGTGATTTACTGGTTTTAATATGAAACTCTACGTGGTAGAGCCATGCTGCAGCTATATTATGGTTGTAGCACGAATGGGTCGGCTC